ACAAAAAGAAGGCAAGAAAAATCCATGTTTGTGTTAAATCTTTTCTTTTTGTTTGTTTCCAGTATTCTCAGTTTCAGCGGTGACAGTTTCAAAGATGAATTAAAATCTTATTTGTCATATCCTCCAGCCTTTTTTTAGCCTTTTTCCCCACTGTGACTCCCTCAGGTTTTATTTCATCTTGTTCTGTTTTTATCCAACATTTAAAAATCCTAACCTCCTTTTGTTTTTGTTTTGTTAGTTTACAAAAAAAAAATAGTGTAAAGGGTTTAGAATTTACCATCTCAAGAGCTCAGATTTCAGGTAGATTTTCAATGGACTGTACCATCACAACAACATAACCTTTTAACTATCAATAGTTCATTTTGGTCCAAGATGACAAGTTCTTGATCAGTTTCCTTTAACTGATTAGATCAATTTCAAGTTCAAGGTTTTTTATTGTCATTTACATCACATGGCACATGAGGTGGAGCAAAATTATGTACTCAAGGTCCCAGTTACACACAAAAATAGCAAAAATATAAAAAATAAACTGTATATAAGGATCTAAGATATATACTAAACGAATGCTAAACAACATGCTAAAAGAGCTAAGATACACACTAAACACTAATAATGTAAAATAATACAGTGTCTATAGTGAGCAGATATGAATGAATACAGCTGCATGAGATGAGCAGCATGGATAATCAGCAGCACAAATAAGTCACATATCCAATTAAAGTGGCATTGCATACAGATGATAGATCAGGTAAAAAAAAAAAAAAGTCTTTAAATCCATTTAAATGCTGAAGCAGCAGCTCAAAGTAGAAAGAGGTTGGAGTGTAAACCTAGAGTTAAGAGCTAGTTTAAGAGATGCTGGCAGCAGTTCTGCCAAACTGTCCCATGGAAGTTCCCAAATGACTACATATGCTTCTGTGGGAGAAGGATAATAAAAACGTCTCATTCCTTTTACATATGTAGCCCTGGTGTTTAATGTTTTGCTTTTATTCCACAAACGGGCCACATTTTTTAGACCATTTTAAAGCCGTCCAGCCCAATGATGCTCAGCTTACTGTGCTCTCTTTTCAACTCTTTCTGTCTTTAATATTTTCTTGCCCTTGTACTCACTTATTTGTGGTCTGTCTCTCATTCTGCGCTTGTTTCAGTCTCTTTTTGTTCTCTCTCTCTCTTTCACTCTTTCTTTCTCTGGGGATGCCGATGAAAACCATGCCTGTTTTATTTTTTCTTCAGAAGGCGCTGAATATTTCAGTTTTGCATTTTCTCTCTCTTTTTATGCGCTCCCTCTTTTTTTTTTTTTTCCAGGCTACTTTGATGTGTCTGTGGATTCGTTATCATTCCGTTTGGATGAGCTCACAAACGCAGATGCGGGGCGCTTTCCTCACACAATGTACGCACGCCTTTTTTATAATACAGACCAGAGGCATCCATATGCGCTCTTCCAACTGAACCTGTTTGCTAGGCTTATCCATGCGCTGTTCCACCCACATCAGGCCATACAATTGTTAAATGCTTACTTATACAAGTCCTTTGGTGTGTGCTGATTTCACTCTGCTCCTATATGTAAACTGCTTGTATGTATTTATATATATTTACGTACAGTAGTTTCATTTCCCATACATATGAGTCATGTTGTGCTCAGTAACAAAGGTTTCATGCAGAGCAGTCCAGAACACGACCTGCAACCCTCCTGTCTGCCCATCGCCAGCTGAACGACGAAAGCTTCTTGACCCTCTCAAATACAAACACTCCTCTCTCTCTCTTCGCGTCCCTCTTTTCCTCCCCTTTAAAAAGCCATTTAGCTTTGAGGGAAAAGAGGATTTCCTCTTTAGAGAAGGCACATCTTTAATTTGAGCCTCCTCTCCTTCCACTTTTCTGACCAGATATTCATTTAAGGTTAACAGGCCGCCCTGGCGTTGGCACCCTTCTCCTTGCCAGGCCACCCTGGGCTTTTTCCTTTTTCCTTTTCCTTCTCATCTCATCCTCTATTCCCTGTTATTGATGGTGACACACTGTCTGACCACACACATTCTTCACACACTGAGTCTCAGTGTCCTCTGCTCACCTGACCCTTTTTACCATCTTCATGCCGCTTGTTTCAATGAGTTTTTTTTTTCTTAATATTTTCTACTTTGGGTTTTTGTAAGCATCCTTAGAGGTGTGAGCCCAGCAGCTCGTTCCAACGTAGTCAATAAAGCTTCCTTTGAGTTGTGTTGTCAGTTGCACAGAGAGTTTGGGACTGTGCCTCGTGAACAAAGGCCCGCATGCCAGCTCCCTTCTCTCTCAAACAAGACGCACACTCGTTTCATTGTTGGAAGTTTGCCTGCTATTTTTGTGACGTTCGGTTTCCTCTTCTCTTTCTTTTTCCTGTTTTAGTCGTCTCCACAAATTCTTTTGTGTCTGGCTGAGTCCGAGAGGCAGTCAAGCAATGGGTTGGATTAATAATTACAGAGTACACAATATTTTTTTTGGGGGGGGGGGGGGGGGGGGAGAGAGACATGGTCTGTTGTTTGATGTCCAACATGAGAGAGACCAAAATTACTGAGACGAGCGCTTTAAAGAGCAGCAGAAGCCTGCGCATTCTTTCCTCAATCCTTCCTCAGCCCTCTTGTTCTTTGCTTTGCTTTTCCTTTCAGCATTCTAACATTTAAAAACTAAGATTTGTTGCTTTCATTTTGGGAAAGGATTAATCACCCAATAAATGCATTTTTTTTAATGAATGTGCACACACAAATGCTGAAGAATTGGATTTTCTAGGATTGTGTCTGAGTTTGTGTGCATTTCAAAAACTACGGGTCGTATGATGCACATGCACTGAAAATTTCAGTTTTTTTTTTTTCCCCCGTCCCTCGTTTTGTGACTTAACTGTTGTTCTTCTAATTGGTTTTAAGTCTCCACCACTGGCCAGATTTCCTTTTCCAACCCCTTTGGGGTTCCAGGGGAAATAATTATCCACACCTTTTAAGAGCATTCAGTTACAAAATGCAGGAAAAAATGTTAGACACCCAAACACACCTACACACAGTATTGTGAATAAACGGTAGACTAAATCTAAAATCAGTTGTACTATCTAGTTTTAATGTCATATTTTTGCAACAAAATGAGGGTCTTGAGGTGGATTGTGGTCGTAGTCGGCTGGTTTTATACTATAACTACTGCTTAAAAAAGCATCACAGACAAATAGGAACTATGTTTGTTCTGTTTTTGTGTATTGCTGGTTTATTGTTTTTGTTCAGGAGTACCTTTATAAGCATTCAGACACAATGTGACTCCCACCGTTACTTTGTTGAGCACAGTTTTTTAGAGTAGCTTTAAATAAGTTGACACTCAGTAGTTAGGAATGTCTTCACTGTCACAACAAGCTACCTGTTAAAACTCATCTGACTTGCTTTATTTGCTATAATCATTTTTCTTCTGAAGGCTTTTTCATTTTTACAGAATAAAATATAAACACAAACCAGTTCATAATTTAAATTTCTAAGACTTCCTGTATACATCAACTTGTCAGCTTTGCCTTCTATTCTTAAGTGGATGACTTGTATTCATTATGGTGTTCATACAGGAGTTCACCCTGCTTTATTTATTACCGCTGCCTTCACACCTCGATGTTCTCCTAACGGTGTTTAATTGCAGGTTTGTAACATTTTTCAGTGAAATTAAATGAATGCATCATCAGTCAACCCTAAATTGTAGCATGTAGTGGAGATTTACACGGAGCTGCACTTTTGACTCGCAGCAAAAAAAAGGCTCGAGATTTTGAGGTTGAGTTTAGGTTAATTTAGTGGGTTGAAATTGCCTAAAAGTCTGAGTGTGAGTATTTCAGCTCTGTGACTGACTGATCAGTCTCGGGGTGCACCCTGTTGATTGCCCCTGTGTCAACTGGGTTAAACTCGAAACACCCACCACCCGTTCTTTTGCCTCACAGAAGCATGGATGGATGTTTTACAAAAATAACCCCTTCCTTTACCTTCTTCATTTCCACCTCTGTCATCCCCTCTTCCCTCCATCTATCTACTCAGCCACTGTTGAGTTTGACAGCTGCTCAGCTGCGCTGCACGTGAGTCGTGGCTGGGCTGCACTCTGACAGTTCTCAGTGAGTTTGTCCCCCCCGTCAGTAAACCTGTCAATCCTTTTCACTTGCAACTTTGTAACCTGACATTTGGCAGCAACACCATACTGTCATGAAGGACACAAACTTTAAGTCTATATTTTTATATGGTTATGTATATTAATACATATTTTTATAGTGTAAGAAAGTTGATACTGTAGCGCTGTTTTTTTGCACTATGCAGACAATTTAAAATTATCAAACGACTAATGCATATATTAATCCAGTTTGAAACCATCCCATCCAGCAAGTGAAGAAGCTTCTTTTGTGCTTCTTTCAGACATACAGAAATAGAATGGCATTATAAATAATCAGACATTTACTGGATATGTTGTAATAGAAGGTGCATGCAAGTCCATAGAGAAAAATATTGACTTTTCACAATAAAAGCTCAGTTAGCACCATGACTACATGTGGCTGGCTTGTTATCTTACTAATATGCAGCTTTGTTTTGACTTTGGTATAGTAACCACCTGGATTCAGCTCAAGGCAAAAAGGTTTTGTTCATTACGTGTTTGAGTTGATCAAGAAAACCTTTTGAATGGGAAGTAGGGCTCATCCTGCACAGTATTAACTACTATCCTCCTCACACTTTTGATTCTAGACTTTCTACTGTCCTCGTGAAAAATGTTAGTTTTAGCAATGCAAGTTATTGTGCACATTAAGGTTTACAAGTAAAAAAAAAAAAGCATAATTAAGATAGGATCATGATTTGGAGGCTACTGTCTATCAAACATCAGCCAAGTGAATTTGCCTTCTTAATTTTTTTTCATTACGGTTTTATGATTCGCTTCTGACATGTTTCAGTGTAAAATAAATCAATCAATCATTGCTATTTTCTATAATAGGCTCTTTTTTCCTCCATTTCTTAAAGCTGTTTGTGTTTGCTTTAAAGGGAGATGGAAAGCCAGTTGGACAAAGCCAGGGAGAGTCAGAGACAGCAGATCCAACAGGCTGATTTGGCACTGGAGCAGTTTAAAAAGCAGGTGCAGCTCAGCTCTGAGAAGGCCTACGCTGACATGAAACTCCAGGTTTGATACACTCCTACAGATCCATAAACAGTTTTCCACATTAAAAGCGCTGTCCGTAACCAGGAGCAGAAAATAAAACTATTCAATTTGGTTACATCTAGAGGTACACCGAATGCTCGACATGTAAACGGAATCAGTCGATAATCTGCTTGACCAGCAGTTAGGCACGTAACGGTCAACTTGTTTGTTTTTTTATGAAATGATGGACTGCGCACAAAGTGATGCACTAGCATAACGTCTTTGGTTTTAACGTTAATCCTAAGTAAAGAACATCAAGTTACCTGTTTTTAATACAAGGGAAATGTTCTAAAAGGAAGTCATTGAGTAGAAGATGAAGATACTTCAATTCAATTCAAAAATACTTTATTAATCCCAGAGGGAAAAAAAGCTTCAGATGCTACTAAAAAACTTTTAGGTTTTCTTTTGAGATGGATTCATGTTTGCCGTTCATATAGGAGCGCTTCTGTCTTTAAAACTCTATTCTCAGTTTTTTCTCAGCTTAAACTATAGCTTTAAATAGAAGCTAAATTAGATTCAGCTGTCTATTTTGTGAAATCTAGTGCACGTTTGTGTTTTGAAGGGTATAAACAACTTTAATCTGATTTATAAATACCATGCTGTATACAGTTGTATTTTATTTGTACAACTTCCACTGTGTATTATTGTGGATTAATGGTCAGATATCCATCTACGAAAAGATAACACCCTGCATCATTATTGTAATTGTTTTATTATCAACACATTATCAAATATGTAACCCAAAATATTCATCTTGAAATTGTGTATACGTCACATTATATTCTTAATGAATAAAAACTGAATTATCCAATATCGTAGTGGCAGGACAAAACTTTACGAAGAATGAAAAATCAGAATCAAATTGCTACTAGCTTTAATCTATACATATTGTACACGCAGGAAATCAATCATTTTACTTTGCTCATTGTTTTAGATCCCTGCAGTGTGAAAACAAATCTTTTACTCACAGTTTTGCTGTAACTTTAGTAAGCTCCTGCATCTTTTTACTGCTCCAGCACTAAAAATCTATATGTTACAGCCAAGAACATTATCGCCCTCGAGCAATTTGCACTTGTTTGGCACGTCTGAATAAATGAAATGAAATATAATCTCGCTCATTAAACATTAATTCCTCTGCTAACACGGACAAACCTCAGTAGCTTTGAGTGGGCACGACGCAGGCGGGTCGGGTTCCAACAGAGAACGGGTCACGCACAGTGAGCAGTCAGACTAATTAGTCCATCAGCCCTGCCTTACGATCAGCACTCAGCACTGCGTGGGCTGCTGCTTATTGGAGGAGTTTTCCGATCAATTCGCGCCCAGCTTTAAACTTCTGACGCTGTCTTATAAATCAGTTTAGCTACAGGCATTCTGTTTCCTGTTGAGCAAGCCTAGTAATGCTCTGCGTGTTCTGTATTGACAGGGCTGCGCTGAGTGTGGTCCTAAATGTCTTAAAGGGCTGTGTGTTGGAGAGATTTGCATGTTTTCGTTTCTAATTAATAAAGTTTTTCACCTAAGTAGTGTGTCTGGGGGCATTTGTGTAGGAGTTAAGTTTATTCACAGATATTTATGGGCAATGGGAGCAACATTCTTTTTAAAATCTGACTTTTTCCAGAAAAAATATATTATGACTTGCATTTGTACTCTAAAATGAACGTATCCTTTCACATTAAAGTTATAAAATATCATACTCAAGTTATAAAATGTCTGACCTCCATAAGAGAAGAAGCTGTTCTGTGAGTAATACAAGAATCTGTAGGATATATAATTGTTTGTTTTTTTTATTACCTCAATGAACATTTTTAAATATTTGCAATGAAAGATGTTTTCCACCTCTTGAATACAGTTTTTTTTCCTTCTCTCCTCTCTTTCTACTCATCCTTCCATCCCCTAGCTTTCCTCCTTCTTTTCCCAGTGAGCCCCTGGCATTCTGATCTTCAATCTGACTTTATCCTCAGCCCACATCAAAGCCGTGGGAGAGAGGGGAGCAGTCTCTTCTGCATCCCTGTCATCTTCTCTCCCTCTTTCACTTTCCTCTGCCTCTCCTCCCCACCCCAATTCTGCATCACATCCTCTTTCGAAGGCTTTAATGTTGTAGAACGTACTTCAAAAGGAGTTTTTACCCTCTTTTCTCATCCTCCCATCACTCCTTTCATCGTCTTCTCAGTCTTAGTCTTTCTGCAGATGGTGTGATATCTAAATGGATTATCTGAATCACTCGTTTTCTTTCTTTCTCTTCTTTTTCTTTTTAAAAAGCAGCTTCCTAACTTTCAGACCGCATTTAAAAAAAAATCTGCCCTATTTTGCTTTTTTATGAGTATCAAACAGAATAAACTCTGTGTTGCATGTTTAATTCAAAGTAGTCATTAGGATTTAGACTGGATTAATAAAATTAATTATAAGTTTCACTAAAAACAAAACTGACAAGTGGTGTTTAGTAAATAACCATTGTTACTGTTGATTTTCATAAACAAACATTTTTATAAACATTATATAACTGTCAATTTAAAATTACACATTTATTTACATAGGTTTTTTTTTTATTATTATTTGTGTTAATTGCAAACATGAATAGCAGCAGAAGCAGCCGCTGTAGCACTTCTGGTAAAGCCTGGAACATTTCTGACATTGCTGCAACAATAACTGAGCAATGTATTAAAAAAAAGTGGGACACTAAACAAATTGTGAATAAAAACTGAATGCAATGATGTGGAGATGGCAAATGTCAATATTTTATTTGTAATATAACATAGATGACAGATCAAAAGTTTAATCTGAGTAAATGTAACATTTTAATGGAAAAATATGTTGATTCAAAATTTCACAGTGTCAACAAATCCCAAAAAAGTTGGGACAAGTAGTAATAAGTGGCTGGAAAGAGGAAATTGAGCATATAACAAACAGCTGGAAGACCAATTAACACTAATTAGGTCAATTGACAACATGATTGGGTATAAAAAGAGCTTCTCAGAGTGTCAGTGTCTCTCAGAAGCCAAGATGGTAAGAGGATCACCAATTCCACCATTGTTGTGCAGAAAGATAGTGCAGCAATACCAGAATGGTGTTACCCAGCGTAAAATAGCAAAGACTTTTAAGTTATCATCATCAACCGTGCATAACATCATCAAAAGATTCAGAGAATCTGGAACAATCGCTGTGCATAAGGGTCAAGGCCGTAAAACTACTGGATGCTCGTGATCTCCGGGCCCTTAAACGTCACTGCACCTCAAACAGGAATGCCACTGTCAAGGAAATAACAGAATGGGCTCAGGAATACTTCTAGAAAGCATTGTCAGTGAACACAATCCACCGTGCCATCCGCCGTTGCCAGCTGAAACTCTACAGTGCAAAGAGGAAGCCATTTCTAAGCAAGCTCCACAAGCTCAGATGTTTGCACTGGGCCAGGGGTCATTTAAAAGGAGTGTGGCAAAATGGAAGACTGTTCTGTGGTCAGATGAGTCACGATTTGAAGTTCTTTATGGAACACTGGGACGCCATGTCATCCAGACCAGAGAGGACAAGGATAGCCCAAGTTGTTATCAACGCTCCGTTCAGAAGCCTGCATCACTGATGGTATGGGGTTGCATGAGCGCTTGTGGCATGGGCAGCTTGCATGTCTGGAAAGGCACCATTAATGCAGAGAACTATGTTCAGGTTCTAGAACAACATATGCTCCCATCTAGACGTCATCTCTTTCAGGGAAGACTCTGCATTTTTCAACATGATAATGCCAGACCACATTCTGCAGCAATCACAACATCATGGCTACGTAGGAGAAGGATCCGGGTACTGAAATGGCCAGCCTGCAGTCCAGATCTTTCACCTACAGAGAACATTTGGCGCATCATAAAGAGGAAGGTGCGACAAAGAAAGCCCAAGACGATTGAACAGTTAGAGACCTGTATTAGACATGAATGGGAGAGCATTCCTATTTCTAAACTTGAGAAACTGGTCTCCTCTTTCCCCAGACGTCTGTTGAGTGTTGTAAGAAGAAGGGGGGGGGGGGCACACAGTGGTAAAAATGGACTTGTCCCAACTTTTTTGGGATTTGTTGACGCCATGAAATTTGGAAACAGATTTTTCCCTTAAAATGATACATTCTCTCAGTTTAAACTTTTGATCTGTGATTTGTGTTCTATTCTGAATAAAATATTAGATTTTGGCTCCTCCACATCATTGCATTCAGTTTTTATTCACAATTTGTTTAGTGTCCCAACTTTTTTGGAATCCGGTTTGTAGTAAGTTGATAGCAATGTAAAGATTGATAAAATGGCATTTGCAAGAACTGCTGTGAAAATGGAGTGGAGTTGTTTTAAGACAACTGCAGTTTGTTTTAAGATTTGGCCCCACCTAGACTAGCCATTAGCTCATCAATCTGCTCAAATGTAATCTATTCATCAAAACTGAGGTTGTTCAAACAGCTTCAACAGGGACAATAAAATTTCAATTCAGTTCAATTTATTTTTTATAGCGCTAAGTAGAGCTGTCATTTCTAACCTGGGCCTGAAGCCCAGCCCAACCCGAATTTGGGCCGGACCATAATAATGTGCTGGATGGCTGGGTCGGTGTCAGGCTTTTGATTGCGTCAGCGGATCAGCCACAATCTAATTATATGGCTTGCCAAACATTCCAATTATATGGCAAAATGGCTTGCCATATGGCTTGCCCTACAATCACCAGCCGCATGCGGCCATTTCACCGCGAGCTGACTGGCCTTGAAAGAGGTAAAATAAAGTTCAGTTAATCTTCAGATGGGAGTATACTGCCAGGAAGCGATCCATCGCCCAAATAGACGTTCAGCCTACACTCAACGGACACGCGCAGCCGATGACCCAAACAGGTGAGATCCTGAAAGGACAAGCACCCTCTCCGCTTCGATCTTCTGCGCCTTTTATTTAGCCATTCGCATCCGCCAGCCGTTAATAACTATAAGTTATAGTCTAATTAAAAATGTCTGTCTGGGGGGGTTTCGGGTTTGGACCTGTAATTACTGTTAATTCTTCGGTTCGGGTGGGGTTTGGAAATGATGGCTACGGGCTGGGGCTGGGTCGGATCTGATTTTTTTGGGCCCAAATGCAACTCTAGCACCAAGTCACAACAGAAGTCGTCTCAGGGTGCTTATAATGAGTTATATAATATTTTCACAGAACATCATTTATAAATATTTGAACTATCACTTTAAGTTAAAGAGGCAAACCTGTGAAAATTCTTTCCACATACAATCATCCAACACAGTCACATCCACAAATGCATGTGATTTTCCTTCCATCCATCCTTTATCTAAACCGGCTTCTTTCTTTTCGGGTCACGGGGGTCACTGGTGCCCATATTCAGGGTGACCTGCTCGCTGAGAGGCGGCAGCTCTAGCAACTACACCACCATGCTGCCCCCATGGGACTTTTTTTTTCTGATTGCATCTCTCAGTATTTGCATTCCACCTTTTTCTTGCACTTAGAGTTATGTTTAGATTTGAAGTACCATTTGACTAGTTAAAGTTTTGTTTTTAATTGAGAATATTGATCTTTAGAAATCAGGACAATCACAAATCAAAAGTTTAGTTTTGACTTTGTGTATTTACTTTTTTAAACTTACAGCATGACTTTACTTTAGCATTATAGTGTTATTGTAATTAAATTTATTTATTTGTTTTTGTCAGTTGCAGATAAGTCAATATTATTCATGTTTGAGCACACCAGCCCAGCCAGCGTTATATTTTTTGACCAGCACTACAGTAGTCCCTCGCTACTTCGTGATTCGTTTATCACGGACTCGCTCCATCACGGTTTTTCAAAGTAAGATTGGACATGACACACAATTGGCTGATTGATGGATGAGCCGCATGATCGGCATGAAAACATTTAAAATAAATTATTTTAAATTATTTAGCACCTGCTGCACCTTTGTGCACCCCGTACTGCAGGATAAACTTAACTGCTGCAGCTGAACAGCTGTTCTCTGTGCAGAGCATAGAAGTGGGTGTGGCCAAGAGTGCTTGCAGGTGGCTGAGAGCAGTGGATGCACGGAGCTGAAATCACGACATGCTGTGCTCTTTTGGAGCGTTTAGAGTTTAGAAACATAGTTTAGAATATTGCAAGAGTTTGGGAAG